AAGAAAGAAATTAAAATTAGAATAACGAAAAACGTAACGAACACTAGAAAGAGCACCTTTACTTTGAAGCCTGAAGAAAACCCCATTTTCAATTTAATTAAAAAACCCTACAAAGACTCATTATGTAAGGTGTTTTAGAAATCGGCAGAGCACTGATTTAATTTGAAAATTGACAAATTCACAGACGTTTATATTATGGAAATTACGAATATTTGTAGGGTTTGTACTCAAGTATAGGTTGCTCTTTCTAGTGCTAGTGAAAGGTTTTTGGTTTTAACTCATTTGAAATTATAATTTGCGGCCGCCATTTTGCCAAAGGCTCTTTTTCAAAAACCATTTGAAAATTAAAATAGCGTCATATTGTTTACATTTTGGAAACTACCGTAGCTCAAATCCAAAATCAATTCAATCTACAAACAAAAACTTTAACATCAATAAACATTATAGTTTACTAGTAAATATTTTTGAAAATTGTAGTGTATAATACTTGACAGGGAAGTACTCACGGACATAATTAAGTCTGAGAAGTACTTGCTTTTAACGAGAGAACAAAAAGAGCGGAAGACTTCGCTTGAGAATGAAGTACTTGTAGCCAAAGTTTGAGTAGAATCCGTTACGAACTGCTGTAACTTAAAAGCCCTGTCTTAAAATAGCCGTGAAGATATAAACCAGTCGATAAACTTATCCTCGTTAGTTGGCCATCTAAAAGATATTTATTTATCTCAAGTTTGGAAAGTCTATGTCCTGTTTTGGTTTTACACACCGACGTAATCCGCTCAGGATTTAGATGCTCTTAGAACAAAAGAAGCCTTCGAAAAGAAGTGACTGAACTAAAGCTACTAACAGTACGATTCGATTACATACTGTTTACAATTGTAAAGGAAGTAGAATTGAAAGCAAAGAACAAGAAGAAGAAGACGACGACGACGAAGAAGAAGAAAAAGAATAAGCCTGACAAGACCGAAAAAATAAAGTGCCTATAACGCCTAACTCAATATTTTCAGTATTGATTCTACATGAAGGGTAGAGTTGAATGGTAAAATATTTTTGTATGATTTGAGTAATGACTACATTAAAACTAAATTAAAATAAATATAAATTGGCAGATCTAGTTGCATTCGTTTCTCTCTTCTTCGTCCTCATGATTACGCTATTCTTCCGTGAATTCATTTTTCCAACATATTCGTAATTGCTTTTAGTGATATAACTTCATTGTCGCTCAACGTTTCACCACGTTTCGACATCTTGTAGCTTGTACTTTTCTTTCTTTAATATGATGTAAATTACAATAATTTTAACTTTAATTTGGTGCAAATAAACTATTGATTATTTGTTGGCATCATTCAGTAGAGTATACTGTATGGTGATGCTACTAGTGAGGTGCGATAGTGCAGAATATACACAATATACACAAGAGGTCTATTTTACTTCGAGGCACGTTCCGTTTAGACCCCGTCCATACTAATGCTTTTTCGTTTGAAAACGAAGACATTTCGATGCGTGTTTTTGGCCTTCCGTCCACACTAAGGCCCCGTCCACACTATGCCGGATACTTTTGAATCTGAATTTTTATTTATTCGGTTCCATTTCGAAAATTCGTTTTCAGTGAAGAATTGKTCCGAATTTGCCCGGACTAGTGTGGACGGTAGGCCTAACCGAATAAATAAAAATTGGGATTTAAATTTATCCAGCATAGTGAGGACGGGGCCTAAAACGCTCGAAAACGATGAGCGTATTCATCGAAAATGCATGGATTTACTCACAACGTAAGACTCGGGCAACTCGGCCGTTTTAAAGGCCGAGAAGATTTTGGATTCTACCAGGTCGAATCAGCGCGTGGTGGGACAAACACCGCGGGCGCTGTTCGATCGCGCATGCGCAGATTGATGCATTACGTCACAGCGAGACGTATGCTTTTTGGAGCGTTTTAGTGTGTACAGTCGAAAACGATATGAAAACGCTAGTGTAGACGCAAATCAATCGATGCGTTATCACTAAGACAATAACGGAGCCTTTCTAAAACGCATTATTTCTACTAAACCCATCCCACACGGAAAGGAGTTAGTATGCATTGAAAGCCATAGCGTCACCATCAACATTTTTGAGTATACTGCTCATAGCAAGGGGTTAATCATCTACGGTCTAGGGGCCGACTAGCCTCTCCCTTAGGCTTCGGCCGAGCTTCCTGATCAGTTTGTAAATCTCCGGATAGCGGTGTCGGGGTCGAAATCTCCGGCGTAGCCGTAAATGCTTCGCKCTGCCATACGACGGTTCAGCATTCGATGTCTGGAAGTATGGTCCTTTTTTAATGAATCAAAAAGTAAACATTCCAATATCATGTTTCCATAATAAATAAACTTTCGAATAGATCCAATTTACTATGATGCACGTTCCGTTTAGTTTTACTAAACGCATCCCAAAGGGAAAAGAGCATTGACTGTCTAGTGTCTATTTGGTCTATTCCCGATGAAGTTGTCCATTGGTACGCAGGTCTAAATACAGCTATTTCAAAAAACATTGAATGGGCGAGCGACAAATAGAGATCGGTGATTATACGACCGAGAGGCACAGTGGGCATACATCCAAACACGAATAATCAAGGTATATATTGTACATGGTTTCGTCGACTGCTGACAACAATAAATATCTCAACAACAACATCTGTGTTGTTGACAAGAATAACAATAAGAAACACAAGTCAGTCCAGCTATTCTTGCATCTTGGAATGACTCATCTCATATCGCTTTTCGCCTATCGCATTATTGTGTGTTTTCATCAATATCTAATCTTAGGCCTAGGGCAAACGTCGAACTTTCCATGCACCGAACTCATTAAAAACAATGGATATCAGGTGATAATGAGGCGGCATTCTTTGATGTAATTAAGTTCGGTGCATGGAAAGTTCGACGTTTGCCCTAGGTCTTAGACGCCGGCCATTAGATTATTGAGGGGGGTCTGGGGTAYGCGTAAATCCCCAAAAATATGGAGCAAGCACTTCACCTACGAAAAAGAATTATCGCGCAGCCTCTTTTTTCGGAAGAAATATCGCACAAACATACAAAAATGCGTACAGGGGTTATTAAAAAAATATCATGCATAATAAATTCCTGCAATCCTCCTCAATTATCTAATTGTTGATCCCTTTGCGCACTAGTCTAATTTGTACTAGTTACACTCTTGAAAAAGAAAATGATTTAAAAGTCGCGCGATCACGAATAGGAAGTTTGCATGATGGCGTCATTTGACTCCCACTACCAATATACTTTGCGAATTTTCTTTCTTGTTTAAATTTGTTTTCCCTCATGAGAATAGTAAGACAATTGGTGCTGATTAACTGAACAAAAGAAAGTGTGCAAGGGAGTCTGGTAGTAGAGGTCAATGACGCCATCGTGCAAACGTCCTATTGCGTGTGCGTAGTTAGCATTGACGTACATAATTACAAGATTACCATTTACACTTACATGCAAGCTACCTTAGGTCGATCCAAGACCACAGGTGAACTAGTTAAGATCAATCTCTGACCGATCGTTGTTCGCCTTGGACCCTTCACACTTGGCCCGTTTGTCTTTGGATCGATTTCAGATTGATTTAAATGGCTAGTGTGGGGCGGGACCCAATGAAACAGATTCGAGGTTTTGGATGCAAGATTACGACTTATGCCTCTAAACGAATACAGGATTTCACATTAACAGAGACTGGAGCTATTTACGGCTTTTATTACAACTACAACAATCGTTGTAAAAAATTATCTACGTTTGAATATTTGATTGCTTTTTTGAAACATTGGATATTGACAATTAGATAAAAGTTTTGAATTTCCGCCCCCGCCCCTCCCTCTCGCCGTTCCCTGGTATTAAAAGGACCTCAAGGGAACTTGGATGTGTCGTAGAAATTCAAATTACACGGAAAACCGAGGGAAGAGAGATAATGAGTTACAACTAGAGAGTTTTTAAGGGTGTGTGAGTGTGTGTAGGGGGGGG